ACCCAATTATAACCTGACCCCTAAAACCAAGTCTTGAACTTCAAACAGGCCTTTAAAGGGCTCTCAGAAAGTGAGGACCGGACAAAATGTCCTCACTTTACAATTTTGTCCTCACTCCGATGGTTTGAAACTCAAACCGGCCCTCACAAAGATAGCTGTACAAGTACACACACTCGCTGATGGTGTGTGTTTTATTTGATCAGGATGATCGTCTGATAGCAGATCCATCAGATCCTCAAGCACTGATTGCTCCTGTTATTTCTGTCTCTACTGATGGTCTCGTCACGTCTCGCTGTGTGAATCTGAAGCTTGAGATCATCTGTGATGCTTCAGGAGTAAATCAACTCAATCTCTCTCAACATTCATCTGTTTAATATTAATTTAATTTTATACATTCTGCTCTAATGAATCTTTCTTTCATCACAGTTCAGACTGGACACCATCTTCAGAGGTGAGAGAAACAGTGAAACACATCAGTGTGTCCTGATTGAGATCAAACTCTGTGTTGAACTGAATCTTCAAGTGAATCATGATGATTGTGAATCTGTTTTTCAGTGAGGAATGAAACTGCAGCGACTCCAGACTCAGGTGAGTTTCAGCTGATAAACGTCTGATTATTCACTGATAAAACACTGCAGCTCAGGGGTGTGTTTCCCAAAAGCAACTATAGTTGCAAGTTCTGCAAGTTACCAATAGAGTTCAGTGGAACTTACCACCATAGTTAGCTAACATAATTTTGGGGAAACGCACCCCTGATTCACACTCAATCCAGTTTGAATCTTTCCTCTCATATTTATCATCACTGTGTGTTTAAAGATCTGCTGAATGAAGTGACTCCAGATCTCCAGCATTCAGGTAAAACATTAAGAGTGTGACATCTGTGGATGTGCTTCCTGATATTCTTTTCATTATGTTCATATATCAGCTGATTTCATTGGTTCATTTGTCGATTGGCTGATTGTATTTTCTATCACTTGTATACAGTAGATCAGCTCTGGTGGCTTTTGGCTGTTTTCATTGTTCTTCTCATCATCTTCTTGATCTGTTTGTTAAAGCGTAAAAGGGTCTTCAGGTGAGTCCTGATCAATCTTAAAGAAACATTCCATTCATTAAATCTCACTCTATATTTCATCATGAATCACATTTCCCTTTATCTTCAGATTACTGAACCTATCAGTCCGAATAAACTCAAACTCTGTGCTGGATGTGATAATATGTAATAATCAGATTCAATCTGTTGTCAGATGTTTTCAGGGGTTCATCTGTCAGCGTGACGATGATGATGCAGAAAACAGGTGAGTGATTCCTGAACAACACTAAGATCATGGGTTTGATTCACACAGAATGAATGAATCAAGCGAGCTCTTTGAATGCAGTGAGAGTCATTCTGATAAATGAATAAATGTAATGCAGTGAATCACTTGAACACTGAAGAGGTGAAACAGGTGGATGATGTTTTGACCTTCACACAGATCTGATGAGAATGAATCTTCTTCTGCTGAATCTGAATGTGTTTCTCTCAGGGATCTTGAAGCTGTTGTCCAAATGAAGCTCAGATCGGAT